GATGAGAAGGTTAAAGTCGTCAAATTGCAGATGTTGTGAAGGCAATATGAATTACTGCAGATGGGAGAAGAAGAAAAGATTGCAGGTTACATCTCAAAGGTGCAGAAGCTTGTTCATCTCATGAAAGGTTGTGGTGAAACCCTAACTGATAAGATGATAGTTAAGAAGGTTATTCATACATTGAGTCCCACTTTAATCACGTTATCGTTGCTTTTCAAGAATCCAACAATCTTGAAACGTTGAAATTGGAAGATTTGGTTGGTTCGTTGGAGGCGCATGAGATGAGGATTGTCGAAAAGAAAGGTGTTTAATATTTTATAGGCTCAGACATGGAAGAAACATGGTGATTCTAACAAGTTCAAGGGAAAAAGAGACAAGACTTAGAGCAAGAAGTCTTGGTCGAACCATCAAAACCATAAGGTCGATGATAGGGCTTTTGAATCCTCGAAAAGAGGATAAGCAAACTCCTATCAGAAAGACAAAGAAGAGAAAAAAAGGTGTGTAGTGCTATAACTATGAAAAATGGCATCACTTGACCAAGAATTATTGGTACAAGAAAGGCAGGAATGAAGGAGCAAACCTAGCACCCCAAGATTCAGATGCTTCTGAAGACATAGTGGTTATGGTTGTAGTTACAAATGAGCATGTCGACACTAATATATGGTTTCTTGACACGGGTTGTTCGAATCATATGACTGGTCAAAAAGTGTGTTTAGCAGATTTTGACGATTCGAAGAAGAGCAAGGTCAAACTTGCTAGCAATAGCTTTTTGCAAACAAAAGATATTGGCAAAACAGTCGTTCAAAAGAGCAATGAAGCAAAAGTTATGATCAAAGATGTACTCTATGTATCTAGAATGAAGTGTAATTTGCCAAGTGTACAACAATTGGTCGAAAAAGGTTTCTCGATGGTTATGAAAGATGGAGCCTTGGAATTATTCGACACTCAAAATAATCTGGTCTTAAAATCTCATCTGCCAAAGAATATGGTATTTAAGACCATGATCAATTCGACTGAGGTACAATGCCTAAAAACAGTTGTCGACCACAAGAATAGTTGGTTGTGGCATTTAAAATTTGACCATCTGAATTTCAGGTCACTCAATCAATTGATCACTCAAGATATGGTAACTGGTATACCAAGTCTTGAGATGCCCAACACACTCTGTGAAGGTTGCTTAGTAGGGAAACAATCCAGAAAGTCTTTTTTTTACTATGCCAAATTTCCATTGAGATCCTCTTGCATACTAGAAGTAGTACATTCAGATGTATATGGTCTATTCGAGGATCATACTATTGGTGGAAACAGGTATTTTGTCTCATTTGTCGATGAGTATAGTCGAAAGCTTTGGATCTATGCAATGAAGAGAAAGGATGAAGTATTTGAAATCTTTAAGAGATTCAAGACGCTTGTAGAAAACCAAAGTGAAAAAAAAATCAAGGTTCTGCAAATAGATGGAGGTGGTAAATACACATCCAAGATATTTGAGGAGTTCTGTGTAGAACATGGTATTGATCATGAGGTAATTGCTCATTACACGCCTCAACATAATGGAATAGTAGAAAGAAGAAACAGGACCATATTGGATATGGCGAGATGCATGCTGAAGCAAAAGAATTTTCAAAAATCCTTATGGGGTGAAGCTGTCACCACTGTTTATATTCTGAACAGGTGCCCTACCAAGAAGCTGAAGAACAAGGTTTCAGAACAAGTTTGGAGTGGCAAACAACCATCAGTGAGTCATCTAGAGGTGTTTGGCTCTATTTTCTACAAGCATATTCCGGATGCTATGAGAAGGAATCTTGATGATAAGATTGAACCTATGATTCTGGTAGGATATTGTAAGATTGAAGCATACAGGCTATTCCATCTAATGAATAATAAAACCGTGATGAGTCGAGACATTATGATTTAAGAGAATTCTCATGGGATTGGAATTCAGGTGATGCGACTAACAAGCAAGTGACGGGCTATGAAGTTGATGAAGAAAGTAGTGAGCATGAAGAAATTCCAGTCGTTAATGTCGAAGTCGAAGTAAATAATTGAGAGAGTGTGGCTAGAACAAACCAAATACCTCAAAGAATCATAGTACTTCCAACAAGGCTTCAAGATTGTGAAGTGGTTAGTGATGATGAAGTCACACCAGATGGATATTTAGTTCATTTCTCTTTACTTGCAGGTGTTAAACCTATCAACTATAACGAGGATTTGAAAGATAAACAATGAAAGGAAGCTATGGTTTAAGAGTTACAAGAGATATAAAGAAATAATACATGAGAGCTAGTCGAATTGCCACCACACACAAAAGTTATCTAAGTAAAATGGGTGTTCAAACTGAAGCACAATCATGATGGGTTGATTCAAGACATATGGAAAAATTAGTAGGTCGAGAATTTTTTTAGAGAGTCGTACTCAACTACTTTGAAGTATATGCACCAAAAGCGAGATTGAAATTTGTTTGATTGGTGGTAGCCTTGGTATGTAAGCAAGGCTGGTCGACATTTCACTTAGATGTGAAATCAACATTTTTTTAATGGTCCTCTAGATGAAGAGGTATATATCACACAACCTTCTAGATTTGTGACATAGGAGGAAACAAGGAAAGTATACAGGATGCACAAAGCGCTATATGTCCTCAAGCAAGCACCTAGGGATGGATTAAGAAGACCGACTCATACTTGGTCGAATTGAGATTCATCAAGTGTAATGAAGAAGGATTTGAAATGTTGGATCTAGAACAGTTGTCGTACTTCCTATACATGGAATTTCAAATGTCGAAGCAAAGTATGGTGCTACATCAAAGAAAGTATGTCAAAGAGATGCTTAAGAGATTCAAGATGGAAGACTCAAATCTTGCATCCTCACCCGTAGAACCAAAATTGAAGTTGGAGAAGCATGGAGAGGAAGACAAAGTCGATGTCACTTTGGTCAAACAAATTGTTGGATCTCTAACATATGTGTGCAATGGTCGATCTGATATAGATTTCTCAGTCGGATTAGTGATCAGATACATGAGTGAACCAAGGGGGCACACATTAATGCTACAAGAAGAATCCTGAGATACTTAAAATGATCAACAAACTATGGAATTCTATTTCCATGAGATTCTGAAAGCAAAGAAGTTGAGATTACTTGCTATTCAGATGTTGATTAGTGTGGAGATAAGAAAGATCTAAGAAGCACAAATGGTTATTTCTTTTAAGTATTCGGTGTCCCAATCTCATGGTGCTTGAGAAAGCAACTTGTGGTGGCATTATCATCATGTAAGGTTGAATATATAGTAGGATCATATGATACATGTCAAGAAATTTGGATCAGATCTGTGCTGGAAGAGATGGAGGTCGAAGTGAAGAAACCTATGGTGTTGCAGATCGACAACAAGTCATCCATTAATCTTGCAAAGAATTCAGTTCTGCATGAGAGAAGTAAGCACATCAAGGCTAGGTTTCATTTCCTAAGGGAGAAGGTAAACCAGGGTGAATTGAAGTGACACATTGCTCGAGTGATGCACAGTTGGCCAACATTTTTACCAAAGAACTGAAGATCGACATATTCCTAACTTTGAGAAAGAAATCAACAATAGTTCAGATCGATTATGATTAGCTAGTGCTTAGTAATTTGGATTATAAGGGCGTATGTTGAAAGTATAATCCAAGTTATGTAACCCAAGTCCAAATTCAAGTTGATTAGAGTTACAATTTGCTATGTTAGTTACTTAGTACTCTATTTACTTAGTTGTATATATATACACATATTGTAATTCAATTTTGTATCAATAACATTCAAATTCAATAATAACATTCGTTATTCTTTATTTTATATCTCTTTCTCTCCTCAGTGCCTCATGAGCTAACATAAATCGTGCACTAACAAAAACTACTGTTAAATTCATTGTCAAAATTGTAAACAAAGATGTCGTTCTCGTCGAAACTATGAACAACTCCGCTATTGTGGTTGAAAAGTGTGGTGTGTTTTTAGTGTCAACGAAAGATTTATTTGAAAAAGTGGAAGAAGATGAAAGCCTAGGAGAGTGAACAAATGATTTGTTTTAAAAATTAGAAGAAAATGAAAAGTTGTTAAAGTGAAAGAAAGACTTATTTGAGAAATTAAAGTCTGAGGAAACTCTATCAATTTAATATTTTCTACTCTGCATGTATCCAACTAAAAGACTAACATTTTGATTTAAAAAAGAAGAAGCAAAACCATTAATAATATGAAAATAAAGAATATACGTAAAAGAAAGAAATAATATTACTTAATAATTTTTTAGAAATGCTGAGATTTCAGGGATTAAGTTTTTGTTAAGTATTACTATTATTTTAAAAAATTCAAAATAGTTCTGTTTTTTTATCCGCTTAACTTTCTAAAAATAAATATTACCAATTAAGATTCTCTAATGAGTTTAAAATTTCCCTCATGATTGTTTTTTTTAGCACAAAACAAAAATAAGCTACTAGTTATATACATATATATATATATATATATATATATATATATATATATATATATATATATATATATATATATATATATATATATATATATATATATATATATATATATATATATATATATATATATGATTTTCAAAACTATTTTATTCTCTTATTAATTTTTCCAACCCTACCACTGCCTTTGTGCACCCGGATCCAATCTCATCTCTGGAATAAATCACATGCTTTCGGTCATACTATTTTTTTTTTCTTTTTATAAAATTCAAGCCTAAACACGTGCTCCAACCTCAAACGTGAGATTTATCTAACGGTTGAAATTGAGTGAAACTCATGTTCCTTACCCGCCGCTCTAAAATCAGCTCATCCGATCCAACTTCTTCTCTTAAATGCTAGCAACGTTCCTTCTCGATTTCATTTCACTCTTTTTCCTTTTGTCTTTCTCACTTTACTTCTCTCCTATAAAAGTTAGTGAAAATCTTAACTCTTAGCCTCAATTTCCACCTGTTTTTTTTCTCTCTCATTTTTCTTTCTTCTTCACTCTAAACTATGGCTGATTCCAAAGATTCCTTCAAGATGGAACCCAAATCTTCATCTTCATCCAACACAACCACAACCACAACCTCTTCCTCACTAAAACATCATAGAACTTTCATGATGGCCCAAAACATCCTCAGAATCTTAGTCATTCTTCTCACTGCAGTTTCAGTTCTTGTTACCGTCACCAACAACCAAACCGTTACGCTCTTCTCTTTTCAGTTTGAAGCTCACTTTTATTACTCTTCATCTCTCAAGTAAGACCCTTTTTCACCATAACCCATTTTCCATTTTCATTTGCATAAACAAAAAAAGTATTCTTTTAAAAACATTTTTTAACTTTATTTTTTCTTCATTGTGACTAGGTTCTTTGTTGTGGAAAATAGTGTGGTTTGTTTCTTGTCTGTGTTATTACTGATATTCAATCTTCTGAGGAGGAAACAACAAACACATCAACTAAAAGATTACTACTTCTTCCTATTTGTGTTTGATTTGGTAAGTTTAAATCATGCTATTACGGTCTTTTTTTTGGTTTGTACAAGAAAAAAATATTTTAAAAAAAAATTCTATTGACTAATGAAATTCATTCAAATTCAGTTAACCTAGTGGTGAGGTAATTAATAAAATATACATTTCATTGCTTATCATAAGCTTAATATAATATCTGACAACAATGACATTTATGTGTCAACATCACTAAATTAATAAACTTCATAAAATATATATGTAACAGAATTAGGAGAAATTAGGGTTTCATTTATATTTTGACATGTTTGTTATGATAAATTATGATTAGGTGATGACGGTGTTGTTGATAGCTGGATGTGCAGCAACCACAGCCATTGGATTTGTGGGACAGTATGGAGAAGACCATGTGGGCTGGACTCCAGTATGTAACAATGTGAAAAAGTTCTGCAGAACAAATTTGACTTCACTTTTGATTTCATATTTGGCTTTCTTTGCCAATTTAGGACTCACAATATTAATAGCTTACAAATGTACCTCATGAATGTTTCTCTTATGAATTTATCGTTTTCACATGTATCTTATTAAACATGTTTCAATAGTTGTATCTAGTTAAGGGTTGTGTTATGTGGCCTTGTGCGAAGTTTCTTATATGTAATAAAATCTATTATAGTAAAAAAAAATTCAGTTTGGTGTGTGGTTTTAATTCCAAACAAAATGCTAGTACAACACACAACTAACTTATGAAGAGAGAATTTATATATCTTAATGACGGTATGATAGACTTTCCTCCTATATGAAAATAGTATTATTTAGTTGTTAGGTTATTTCTATGTAGTAGTACTACTTGGAGGGAAAATGGGTTGTGGACTGTCCGGTCGACCCGCATACTTATTAAAAATTGGAGGGTTGAGTTGAGATTTTGTGTCTGTTTATCCGTCTCGTTTTAAGCATGTTCTGTCTTAATCCAGCCAAAGAGAAGGGCGGGTTGGTCCACTAGATCGTCAACTTAGTTATTACTTAAATCATTTTTTTAGTTGGTTGAAGGTTAATATTTAAACTATAGTTTTGAAATACTTGTCGATGATTCTAATTTAAACATTTATGTGTGAATATATGCAATATTTTTTTAGGTAAAATTTGTTAAAAAAGATGTTTTATAAAAAGAGTTTAATTAGTATGCATTTACAGTGTAAAATAATTTTACACTATCATTCAATAGAAATATATCAATCTGTCATATTATACCATTAATTTAAAATTTACAGTCTGATGTGGCGGGAATACATGAGGGTTGTAACACCCTTTCCTACCCCAAAAATATAATGACAAATAAATCACGTTTATCAGAGTAGTATTTTAAACACAATAAAAATCACCTCAAAGGACGTACATTTCTCAATAATTCAACTCAAAGTCAATGCTCCGTAACGACGGGTTTTTTCAAAATTACTCAACATAATCAAAATAACAAAAATCAATAAAAGATGGTTTAACTCAAAGACCCCAACCCGATGTTACACTATCAAAGCAAGACCTTCTAAGTCAACCAAAATGTCAAAACCTCCAAAAAGCCTTCGATGACATCCACGACTAAACCTGATCATCTGCACGTTACCCACGTGGAGGCAACATTCAAACAGGCAGGGTGAGTAAAACGACTCATAATAATCAATATAAGAATCAATATATAAAATAACGTCATTTCCATATCCAACATCTTCATAATCATCAAGGAAGCATAAAAAATCCATAACATCATATATTACAGCAAATTGTCACATAAATGCAAATGTAACAAGACTCATGCATGTGGTATCAATTCAACAAAATTCGATGGACACTGGGCCATCAACCCTCCGTAGATCCCCATTAATAGGATCGATTCTACACAAGAATCGGAGCACAACAAAATACTTCACATCCGCACAATGGGACTGAAGCCACAAGAATCAAACACTAGACCGAAGTACGGAATGCATATGAATGCATGATGCACACGTCAATATCATCATCATAATAAAATCATTAGGTGCATCATCATTCATCAAAATCATCAGAATAATCATGTCATCATAAAATCACCAAAGCCTCATGAAATCAACATCATAAATCATCACAATTACTCATGGGAATTCGTTATACAATCATGTATTATTCTCACAAAATCCACAACTATACTCACGGTAATTCATCAGAAAAATCACATCATCAAAACATCAAGGCATCACTGAACCAGAAAATATTCGCGAAACTCTGCTACGCTCCCTGGCAAGTACGTCGTGCGAGTCTGGGGCGAGTGTTCGCCGTATGAAGGATCATTCGCTGTGCGAACTCGCGATTACAGAAAAATGTTGTTATGCACCAACACCAAAACCAACCCAAAAGTCCATATGATTTCCTTCCCCAATACCCCAAAAACATCCCTAAATCATTCCTAAGGTATTATGACGATAAAGACACAAAATCTACGACTTATTAGGAAAATCTCGTATCATATTTACGCCTCCAATTCCCATAAAATCCTTACAATTTCCCACATTCATTAGAGTTCTCATAATCAATTACCTTATACGGTTAAAACCTCAACAACAGATTTTGGCCACGAATACCTAATTTCCTTTACTCCTAAATCAGCCTCAAACCTATCAGACCATTAGTTCAAATCCCTCAAACTCATTAAACTCACCAGAAAGGCAACAACAATTCAATACTCAAAATCCCTAAACCCTTAAGTCGACTTTAAACACATTGAATCACATATTAAAAACAATGAAGGCAATACTCCCCATACTTAAACAACCTCAAAAACAAATTTGGCCACGAAAGCCTAATTTCCTCAAACTCAAAAACTTCCTAAATCATTAAATCAGCTTTAAATACATTGAATCATATATTGAAAACAATGAAGGTAATACTCCTCATACTTAAACAACCTAAAAAAATAGATTTGGCCACGAAGGCTTAATTTCCTTAAACTTAAAAACCTCCTAAATCCTTAAATCGACTTTAAATACATTGAATCATATATTGAAAACAATGAAGGTAATACTCCTCATACCTTAATTTGCCGATTCCAAACCTTTCTCCTTTGAGTTTTTGGAAACCTCACAAAACCTTGCCTTTATCCTCTTCCCTCAAAGCTCTGACCTTTATTTCTTCTCTTTTCACGGTCTAACAAGAATGAATCCTAATTCCCTCAAAATTCCTTTTTGTTAAACTTAACTTTGGACCTTAAAATGAGCTTTCCAATTTCACCCTCACTAACTCCTCCTCAAATGTCTATTTTTCCCTTAATTCACTTATATTTATTCAAATTAATAATAATACCAATATATTCATATTATATACTATTATTTACATAAATAACCCAAAATCCATAATTCTCAATACTTCATACCAACCACCACAAATCACCAAAAATATGAATATTCCTATTTAAACAAATTAAATAAATATTACAATAAATTTGGGGTGTTACAACTTTCCCCCACTTAAGAGAATTTTCGCCCTCAAAAATTACCTTAAGGAAACAGAGTCGGATACGACTCCCTAATCTGATCCTCACGCTCCCAAGCCCAACTTTCTGCAGCTGGTCCTCCTAAAACTACCTTTACCAAGGAAATATCTTTACCTCGCAGTTACTTCACTTCTCGTTTATCAATCCGTACTGACAATGCCTCAACAGTCAAATTATCTCTCACTTGTACATCGTCCATCTGAATCACATATGATAGATCTGGAATATACTTCCTTAACTGAGAAACATGAAACACATCATGCAAATTCGCAAGCGGCGGTGGTAAAGCAATCCGATATGTTACTCCTCCTACCCTCTGCGAAATCTGATACGGAACAATAAAATGCGGTGTGAACTTTTGAGACTTCAAAGCTCGGCCAACACCAGTTACCGACGTAACTCTAAAAAACACGTGATCTCCCTCCTGGAACTCAAGTGCTTTCCTCCTCTTATCGTGGTAACTCTTCTGACGACTCTGCAAAACTTTCATTTTTTCTTGGATCCTCTTGATCTTTTCAGTCGTCTGGTGAACAATCTCATGTTCGAGCATAACACTCTCGCCTGACTCATACCAACACAAAGGAGTCCTACATCTCCTACCATGCAATGCCTCATACGGTGCCATTTCAATACTAGAATGATAACTGTTGTTGTAGGTAAACTCAATCAACGACAAATGAATATCCTACGATCCACCTTGATCCAACACACAAGCTCTTAGAAAATCCTCTAAAGACTGGATAATTCTCTCTGTCTGTCCATCCGTCCGCGGATGATAGGTCGAACTCGATCTCAACTTAGTACCCAAAGTTGTCTACAAACTCTCCCAAAACCTCGATGAAGATCTCGGATCTTTATCGGACACAATACTCGACGGTATCCCATGCAACTTCACAATTCCCTGAATATGCATCTTAGCTAGCTTTAGCATAGAATGATTAATCCTCATTGGTAAGAAATGAGCTGATCTAGTCAATCCATCCACAATCACCCAAATCGAATCATATCCCTTCAAATTCTTCGGTAGGCTTGTCACAAAATCCATAGAAATTCTATCCCATTTCCACTCTAGAATTTTCAACGGTTGCATCAGACTCAACGGTCGTTGATGTTCAATCTTTGTCCTCTGACATGTCAAACGAGTCTAAACAAGCTCGGCAATATCTTTCTTCATATCTGGCCACCAAAAAAATTTCCTCAAATCCTGGTACCTCTTCGTAGCACCGGCATGGATACTCAATCTACTTCGATGTCCTTCCTCAAGAATACTCCTTTTCAACTCACCAATATCCGAAACACAAACTCTATCACGACATCTCATGATACCATTTTCATTAATTCGAAAGTCAGCTCTTCGACTTTGATTCATCAAATTCAACCGATCTACCAACTCAAATTAGATTTCTGACCTTCTCGAATCTCATCAAAAATACCACTAGTAAGATTCAACATACCAATATTAACTCCATAAGAAGTCTCTTCACAAACCAAACTCATATCACGAAATTGCTCAATCAGCTCTAACTCTTTTACCATCATCATCGGTATATGCGAAGATTTCCTACTCAACGCATTAGCTACCACGCTTGCTTTATCCGAATGGTAATTCAAACCAAAACCATAATCCTTCAGAAGTCTCAATCATCTCCTTTGCCTCGAATTCAATTATTTCTGATCAAAGAAATACTTCAAACTCTTATGATCACTAAACATCTCAAATCTCGAACCAAACAAATAATGCCTCTAAAGCTTCGACACAACCACAACAACAACCAACTCTAAATCATGCGTCAGATAATTCCTCTTATGCACTTTAAGTTGCCTTGAAGCATAAGCTAAAACTTGCTGATGTTGTATTAACAAACCTCCCTATTCCATCAACAAAGCATCACAATATACAACAATAGTTCTGCCGAATTCCGCAAAATCAAAACATGAGCTGCTGTCATCCTTCTCAAAAGATCTTGAAACTGTCTTCACACTTTGCATCCATAGCAAAAGCTTGAACCTTCCTAGTCCATTGT